GAAAACTTCAAATATCGCCCTGAAGATGGAGGCAGTGTGACCTCCGAAACGTTAGTAAACACTACCAGACTACACAGCGCTACATTCCAGAAGACAGAAATCTTCATACTCAGCGCTGAGAAAACTTCAAATATCGCCCTGAAGATGGAGGCAATGTGACCTCCGAAACGTTAGTAAACACTACCAGACTACACAGCGCTACATTCCAGAAGACAGAAATCTTCATACTCAGCGCTGAGAAAACTTCAAATATCGCCCTGAAGTAGGAGGCAGTGTGACCTCCGAAACGTTGGTATACATCTACCAGACTACACAGCGCAACAACCCAGAAGACAGAAATCTTCATACTCACCGCCCTGATGATGGAGGCAGTATGACCTCTGAAACGTTGGTTAACATCAACCAGACTACACAGCGCAACAATCCAGAAGACGGAAATCTTCAAACTTTACTTTACTTTATATATTGTATTTAACCCAAATGCATGACAATTTTCGGGGGGAGAGCCCGCAGTACTAGAAATTTTGAGACGGGAGAGGGTTGAGAAACACTGGCCTAGTAGTCTATTCCTAGAATAATTAATCTAGGAGGCACCAAAGATTTAGGCATGTGCCTAGAATGAGAATGATGATGAATGCAGACAAAATGCTGGTGGGGGAAGGTCTCTTGGAAAAATATCATTTGGAAGACCATCAACTTAACAGCATGGTAGCATTATATTTGTTCATAGGGAAGCAGATGTGAGAACTAACTCAGAGTCGTCATAGGATTTGCCGTTAGTTGTGTCAAACCTTCCATTTTTACCACTCGTGACTTAATTTTCACCTAAAATTACACACTCTGCACAGTCTCAGGCTGTATAGAGACGATTTATATATGAATAGAATAGCTACAAATATTTTTACAAAGCAATCCCGGACAACCGAAAAGGGGATTGGGTGCAGGGCTAACAACCCGACAAATAAAATTACCGTATTACAAAATATCACGAAGTTATGGGGCATATAGAACGAATGGCGGAGAAGCTCAAGCGATGAGACAACTTGGGAAATATACAGAGAAATAACGTCAAAAGTTATCCGAGAAAATAGGTTGTAAATGTGTGTACTGGGCTGAATTGGTTCAAGTTTAGTTCAATGGCGTATTTTATAAACCCAACTAAAGACAGTAATCTACACGAACAATGAGTTATATAACATAATTACAAAACTGCTTATGGCACTGTAGTCCTTTACCCTAAACTGTGCTTATGTGTAAATGCAGGGGGCAGTTCCAGGTTCCATGCTATATAACAGTGACTTGAACTTCTTCTTACCGCACATATCTGCCTAATTTTACTATACAAAAATACTCTATAGATATGCATAATGAACATCACAAATACAGTACGTCTCTGTTATTATGAAGAGCTAGTGCACAGTTCAATATTTGCCGGGAAATAAATTATACGACTCTGTGGAAGTGATGATATTTTTGTCACAGTTTGGTCTCTACGTCTTTAAATTTGTTTAAGGTTATACGCTACAAATAATTTCTCGCTTTTTAGAATTCCTTTTGCAGTACCAAAGGGATATATAAATTTGTCTCAGAAGCCAGCAGAATAATATTTGGATTGCATTTATGAACATTGGTATCAGTATCAACTGTCTAACAGCTAGAACATCTAGTAATCCATCTCGTGAATCTCAAAGCTGTGTAGCCAGCGAAGCTGTAAGATTATCTCATAATATAGTATAAGTTCGTCATTAACACTGGCGAAACAATGTATCCGCATGTCTTTTTACATACAAAGACACAAGAAACATATTTTATTTATTATTTACCCTGTCGAAGGGAAACTGAAAATATACGATACAGTAATCCATACATTCAAACATTCTTTGTCGTGTATACAAACAGAAATACTGCTTGAAAGGATGTGTAATGCATTATTCCTGAATCCTGTTGAGAATGCACGTTCTTTTTGAAATTGGTCTTATTGCACACAGCCTAACACATCATAATAATATTATTTCAATTAATGTTCTTACAAATTCTACGGAGTTCATCACAAATAACATAAGATACAAACTTTCACCAGCTTAAATATCGTTATATGACACAAACTGTGTTGCACGATTCAATCTAATTATAATCTTATCATAATTTGCCGTCAGAATCTGTAACGTCTCCTTACCGACAAGTGGGATACTTTCAGCTGTTTACGTTCAATGAGGTTCTACTACTTGCAAACATTACAGAAGGCGCACTACCAACGTCAATTCTAAAAGAAACATTGCATTAGGTCACCACATTTTAACGTTTTGAAACTTGAGATTCTCAAGATGGTGAATACGTCGATTGTGGTCTTCTGGGTGGTGTGACAGTGTAGGGCTCGTAGGTGGTTACCGGAGGTTTGGAGGAACATATTGCTTCCATCTTCAGGAGACATACTGTAACGCGCTGTGGTAGTCACAGGGAGTAGCTGACAGACAGCCCATAACAGGGACAAAGGAAGAAAGTTTTCGCTGTCAGAGGTAATTCAGAGACCCCCACACTATTATGGGGAACGACGACGCCTTCTGGCTTCCCCCACCCTCCCAACTTGTGACATCGCAGATTAAAAATGACCTGAAGCCTTTCCTGTTAGGCAAATGCCGAGTAAAAATGATTTTTTCACAGAAAATCATAACAGAATGTTAAATACTCTGGAATTTACTTCTACGTCTATATTCCTTCACGTCATTACACGTCGCAAAGGCACCACTTGAAGCATTGATACAAGCTAACAGACATTGAGACAGGATAAACCAAAAGACGCATCAGGTCGCCATAACAACTCCAGTCCTCAGCTGATCAAAAAGTTTTCCGCTTATTATGGGACACGAGAAGACACGGTCGTATTTCTCTTTAATCTATCTTTACTTCCTTTATCCTTACTACCATGTTCTCAAACATCCCTGTTCTGTTCACAGTTTAAGACCATAACCCCAATTAATTAAATGCACACTTATCGTTTTAAACTGATTGAAGAACAGACTGCCTCTTTCTATCAGACCCAAATGAGTAATGCCCCTCGCCCTTTTAAACCTGAAGATGGAAGTGGATATAGCTTCCGAAACGTGGTGTTCTTTTTAAAACCACAGACGTTAGACATAGTCCAAGAATTTAGTGATCCCGATCTTGAAAGAAGCATTCATAGTTCAGAAAACAGTGTACGGATATATTATTAATAATAACAATTATTTCTATTTTGGAACATCTATGGTGTTCTGTCCTGTGAAAATTTTAAGTACGGCATCTTTCTGGCTAAGATCTCCGGTTCTCTAACAGCTGCGTAAATATAATTACCCAACTGTGGTACAAGTGTAACGCTTATGGCTAGAAGTCTCTGAATTCTCCAATCAAATGTAAAATTATAAAGAGTTTTGTAAAATGGAAGAGTACATATTATATTCAAAATGTGTTCTTTCCTGTTTTACATTCATCACCTGTCTTCATGTTAGTTTACTGTAGACACAAATGCATTGTTGTAAAGCGTATAGCACAATATATATAACACTGAATTTGCAGTACCGGGATTTATTTATTTTATTTTATTACGTATTCACCGCATTAAAGAATATTATAAATAAATTTGTGCAACAAATGAGGTACATATTCCATGTCATGGACGAGGTTTTTCACATTGAACTATTTTTTTAAAAAGTTTACGCTTCGCGTAAATTATGGGTTATACTGGACAGAACGAAAACTTAATTCGTAACAACTTGGACGTAAACTTCCCAGCGAAAATATATAGCAAACCGGTAGGTACTTCAAGATATAATACAACTGGACAGACGGACGTAGGCTGCTATCGCCTTTCCTATATGCGTCCCTCAAGTGCCCTTTGTGTAAAGAACGCATAGAAGGGAAACATTTTTCAGACAGACACTGACTTCTTCTCAGGCACTGTGGAGACAGTGAACAGCCGATCGATGTTCATCTGTTCAAGAATTTTCCTGTTGTTACGAAGTCCGGGGGCTCATCAAATTTATGACAAACGCCGATTACTATGCCTGTCTTAAGACAGCGTAGTTCAGTTCTCTTCGCTACTATTCAACACTCTTTAGAATAATGCCCTACGATTTCCTATATGTTCCTCAGTTTCCGAGCTTTGTCTCTTTACACTTTATTTTCGAAACAAAGTGTCCGACATTCACCCCACACTTCTTCGACTGAACCACACAAACAAGATGAATTGCAGGAATTAACTTCCCAGTTAATTAACTTGTCCTTATTCCGTTGAGGGGTCCGCAGTGACCGCGCGGTTTAAGGCGTGGGCCTTGTGCCGCTTGGTCGCTGGGACCGTGGGTTCGAATCCCATTCAAGCCATGGATGTTTGTCCGCGTTTTTCTGTGTTGTGCTGTCCTGTGCACAGGTGGAGGCCTTGCGACGGGCCGATCCCTCGTCCAAGGAGTCCTACCGAATGTCTATAGATCAAGCCAACGAAAAGTTGGGACCCGCAGTGCTCAGGCACTTGAAGAACGGGTCGTTCCCAGTATGCCAGTTATTCCGCTGAATCAACTTGTTTGTCTCTAGAGTTAGGTGTCAATGTATATACCTATATAAATTAAGGGTACGTGTGTGTTTCTGGCGCTCAAATGGACAAAGGATCAACTATATAGAATAAGGATCGTACCGATAACATGTTTGGTTTGTAGTGACCTTTTGGAACTAGTAGCTAAGAATTATGGACAGTGTGGCAAGTGGGCTGCGGACAAAAAATGCAAGAAGTGGTTACATCTGCAGTTCATGCTTGATTATTGTGGTGTTGGAACGCCTAAGACTGTTACAAAAATCTGAACGTACAAGAAAAATGTACGAGATACGTCTTGCACGAATATAAATGTACAATAATTCTCAAACTATAAACTTCGGATTCGATAAACTACGTCTTTAGCATCAATAAGTAGATTTGTTCGCTATTTATAAAGGTACCTTTATAGCACAAACTCTGGGGTGTTCGTAATATCTGCGAAGCTTCGCGCCAAATGCACCCTTGTACTGGACGACGGTGGTAGTTCTCCGTTGGAGGTTGCCATGTTCTTTCTCCTTGTAGTGGGCCAGGAGAGAATATAGGATGTGGGTGGGTGTCGTGAAGGTTGCGTCTGCTGTTGAGTAGTGTCGCCATCGTCGCTTGTACCTTCACTAGCTGATACAGCGTCACAGCACAGCGGCGCTGCACTTGTTCCGTCTAGAGAGAAGTACAAACGTCCAGAAGACGCACGAGAGTTGTCTTCTGTTGACGATAAGCTACTCTTGCTACTGCGGATGTTCCCGTTGCCTTGAGATGAAATGACACTTGTTCCGATGTCGAGATGCTGGAAAGACTCGGTGTCACTGCTAGCCGCACTACAAATATCACTCCCGTCATCGACTCCCTTCGCCTCTTCGTACAGCATTTTCCGCCACTTCCTGTCGAGTAAAGAAGTTGTAGAAGTTGAATACTGACGCCCCATGTCGCCTCTGCTTGGCGTGCCTGGCGCCGTTTGAGATTTGTCACTTTCTTCTGAGAATGCGCGAGTTATGAGGATGCGAGGGGACCTGCGAGGCGTTGTTGCTAGGACAGTCTGAATAGCGGCTGCTCGTTTTGATGACGGGGAACAACTTTCCCTCTGACATTTGTCATAGAAATGAGAATTTCCAATGCCAAAAACTCTTTGAAGGAAGAGATTTGCACTGCTGGGACTAGAATGCGTGAGCTGTACAGGGTTACCACATAACGAAGATACTCCTTCAAGCGAGCCTCTCCCAGTCTTCTTAGAGATTACTGCTGCACGGATGGATCTATACGTTTTTGAGATTTCACCGTCAATTACTGAATCGTTATCAAAAGTTGGCACTTGTAACGTGTTGCAGCTGACTGCGTGTGACTGTTGATCCTTGAAGGATCGTGATCTTGGTAAACCAGTGGCATTATTTATTCCAGTCAGAGAGATACCAAGTCCAGACGTGGATGAAGGTCTCCAGTTTAACTCCGAAGCGATCCTCTGAATCCTAGGCCGATTAGAATTGTTCCAGCTGATACCAGTACGATGAGGGTCTAGAAGCACTTCCGACAGACGTCTCTGTAAATGAGAAGTGGAGGGACGACTCAGGATCCCCAGAGGGGTAAGCGAGGGACGCCGAGAACCACAAGCTGACGGGGTTCGAGCTTGGATCTCCTGAATCATCTCGCTCTTAGACATCTGTTTGCGCCAATAGTTTTGGAATGTTTTACGGAGTATTTTGCTCTTGACACCGTATAGAAGACCGTTGACCGGCGGCGAACAGGTTAGTAAGGTTGATGCGAGGGTGACGAGGTGCGGATGAACACGGACAGCATTGCCGATCTTATTTGCTGCTAGGAATGTGGTAGACGAGGACTCCCACAGGATGACACTATAGTAGGGGAAGTACAGGACGAGCAGGGAACCAAGCAGCTGCAGCACTGTTGAGATGGCACTGCGTCCCCGGAACTTTCCGCCTGCACTCAGAACTGGCGGGTGGAAAGGATTCCTCTGGTGAGTGATGGTCACCTGGGCGGAGAGGGTGACCTCGAATATGGCTGACGCGATGCGATGGCGGTGATATCGGGCTATCATCAGCACCTTTGTAACAGGATCAGCAGTTAGGAAAATTCACAAACACCTTCACATGCTCAGTCGTCCTGACTAAAATGACGCCTTTGGCTTACATAATGTACGTATCCCCCACCCAAGGAAAAAATTAAAATTTCCTGATGAGCATACTAACCTTCTACAGACTACACGGCGCTACAACCCAGAAGACAGTCATCTTCAATGAATTACCTGATCGGTTCACCTGCGTTCCAATGTGTGGAGTTCACTGAAGCACGATAGCAAGACTTGATTTTAATTTTTTCAAAGTGTAGCCGGGCGAACATGATTTACAACGTGGTCATAGCCCACCTTGATATTGCAGCCGAGGATCAACGCAGCCGGCAGTACCAACGTCAGCACAGTGTAGATGGCCGAGTACCAGATGGCGCCGTCACCCAGTCCGAAATCAGGAGCGCAGCCGGATAGGCCTGGGTTGTAACTGTACGGAGCTACGAAAAACAGCGGGGGCAGACAGAGGATGAAGGCGAGTAGCCACGCGGCACCCAGCCCCATGGCCACCTTGCGCGGGCTCACCATGGTCCCATAGTGCAGTGGGGCGGAGATCGCATAGTAGCGGTCACAGTTGAGCCCACACACAGTCCACAACGCCACAGGGTGAAGCAGTGTGAAGAGGAAGCCGTGTAGGCCGCAGGGAGCTCCAGTGCCGAGCCAGCTCCAGCCGCGGAGCATGCTGGGAGCCGAGAAAAAGAGGAAGAGAGCGCAAAGCAAGGAATCGACAATACCGAGGTGGAGGAGCAGCAGGTTGTTGGCAGTCTGGACCTGCAACAAGAGAGCAACGACAGCTGAAAAATCACGGGTTTGGTGCAATCTTTCATTCTCGTCTTCTACGTTGACGAACGAATCTTTCTGAACGACACAGGTTATACAGCGTCGAGCTAGCGCGGGTGGCTGAAAGGACTGCAGTCGCGGTCAGTTTCAAAGAGCTGTCGCCTGCAACCCCGTAATTTGTTTGGATGAACCGAGTAAAATAAAGATATTTGACCACCGGGGCAGGTCTTTAACCCGAATACAAAGAAATCCTGAACACTTAAACCGTGATGTACCTTCCTTCAATATTCTTTTCCGGTATGAACAAAATAAGATATTTCCATGAAGCTCTTTCCATTGCAGTGCAGAATGAGTTTTGAATTGTATGGTATAATTCTGATAATGTATCGTCACAAGAAATGTTAATTATTATTTTTGGATTCGTAAGGTTTTTCAAATCCGAAGTTTCGGAAAATGATTGTCTCCAGCATCGGGTAGTAGGGGAGAAAGTGTTATAGTGATGTGAGCAGGAAACTTCCTTCCCAACTATCTGATAGCGGAGACAGAGCCAGTTTCTGGAATATCGGATCTGGGGGGAAAAGACGATGGACAATGTCAAAAAATAAAACTAATTTTTTATGTAAGAAAT